AAATGGGTTAATTTAAGACATAAGAACAGATAGCAAGATTCCTGCCACAGCCATACAGTTTATAAATAATATAAGCACCTGTGTGTTTATTTGAGTCTGAGTGGCTGCCGGCTGGGGCGGGACTGGAGATAACTCCAGTTACAAAGATGTGCCTTCTAGGCCTTGTTTTTTACTTGTCATCTGTACATGTAGTCTCAATGAAGTCAATGTAGTCACTTCAATTTCTCTATTCGGGGAAAGAGGAGCCACCTTCTTCCATGTACCTTGTCCCCTTCTTACATAAGTTCTTTAATGGAGCAAGTCACTTATACAAGGCTGTGCCATGCTTAGTTCCTTTTCTGTTAAACCCATTTAAAAGTTTTCCTTTCCCCCTTTTTATTCCAAATAATTTTTCTCATATAATATATCATGATTACAGTTTTCCCTCTCTCTATCCTACCAGTAGCTCCCTCTCCAACTGTGCCCAACTCTCTTTCTGTCACTCTGTCCCTTATTAGAAATCAACCAAACTTCTAAGGGATAATAATAAAATATAGTGACATAAAATCAAAAATATCACATTAGAGTTGGACAATCAAAACAAACAAAGGAAAAGAATGGAAGAGAAGGCACAAGAATCAGAGACCCACTCTTTCACATACTCATAAATCCCATAACAATACTAAACTGGAAGCGTGTGTGTGTGTGTGTGTGTGTGTGTGTGTGTGTGTGTGTGTGTGTGTTGTGTGAGCTGCCTCAGTCTCTGTGAGTTCATATGAGCTGTGCTCACGTTTTACAAGGCCTATTTTCTTGATGTTGTCCATACCCTCTGGCTCTTTCACTGCTGGTGTTGTCCAAACCCTCTAGTTTTTTTTTTTTTTTTTTTTTTTTTAACTGCATGATATTCCTTTGGTTTCCCTAATCGCCAAAGGAAGAGATTTCGTGGGAACATCTTATTTAAGGTTGTGGGTTCCAAGGTACTCACTCTTTGTATAATGTCTTGCCGTGGGTCTCTATATTTGTTCCCATCTGCTACAGGAGGAAGCTTTTCTGATGATGACTGAACAAGGCACTGGTCTATGAATATAGCAAAATGCCTTTATTTTATTGCTACATATTTTGTTTTGTTTTTCGGACTGATACCATTTGCTTTTACTCTAGGTCCTAAGGGGCTATCTAGTTTTAGGTTCTCAATTTCCCACGCACGCAGTGTTGGGTGGGTATGGGTTATATATCGTGGAGTGGGCCTTAATTCAAATCATTTATTGGTTGGTTACTCTCTCAAGCTTTATTCCTCCACTGCTGTAGCATATCTTGCAGGCAGGACAACACTGTAGATAGCCGGGTTTGTGACTGGCTTGGTGTTTATGTTTCTCTTTTAGTAGTATACAGAGTATGTTCCTACACAAAAAATGCTAGAACCGAGGCACTATCCAGGCAGTAGCTGAGTTTCCCCATATTCATTGATCTGTATGGATGTTGTCTTCAGCAGCAGAGCCTTGCTGTCAGTTTGTGGAGCACAACCTATAGTTTTGGCAACTGCCTGGGTTTTAGGAGGATTCCTTTGGGACCCCTTTGTCCAACATCTAAATTAGATGTAACCCAATTGTGGTACTAGAAGCTCATTTGGTGGCAAGAGATGGCCAGCTGGGACTCTGTCTCGCACATCATTTGGCAGTTTTCCTGAGATCACATATATATTTTAGCAACTGTCTGTTGTGATAGGTTTCCATATTACCCCTCAAATGGCCCTTAAGTTTAGCTGTTTCTCCCTGTATTCTCCCCATCTCTTTCTCCCTTCCTCACTTGATCCTCCTATTCCAGACCCCCCACTTGCACTCATAACTATCTATTCTATTTTCCTTTCTTAATGAGCTCTCCCTGTGCTCACTGGTCCCCTACGCTACACCTAACCTCTGTGGTTCTATCAATTGTAGCTTGGTTATCATTGTCTTTTTTTTTTTTTTTTTTTTTTTTTAAAGATTTTATTTATTCATTATGTATACAGCATGTATGACAGCAGGCCAGAAGAGGGCACCAGATCTCATTACAGATGGTTGTGAGCCACCATGTGGTTGCTGGGAATTGAACTCAGGACCTCTGGGAGAGCAGTCAGTGCTCTTAACCGCTGAGCCATCTCTCCAGCCCCGGTTATCATTGTCTTAACAGCTAATAGCCATAGGTATGCTTAAAATCTTTCAATGGCCTGGAATTACAGATGAGCCTGAGGCTTTTATTCCTTGATTGGGATGTGCAGAATCTCCTTTGTCTTCCACTGTGGTGATATTGTGTTCCCCAAAATATTGTGCACCCTAATAAACTTATCTGGTGTCAGAGAACAAAAAAGCCACTAGATATAGAAGCCAGAAAATGGTGGCACATATGCCTTTAATCCTAGCAATCCAGAGGCAAAGATCCCTCTGGATCTTGTGAGTTCAAAGCCACACTGGAAACAGATAGGCATGGTAACAAGAGCCTTTAATCCCAAGAAGTGATGGCAGAAAGCAGAAAGGTATATAAGGCTTGAAAACCAGGAACTAGAGCTGGTTAAGCTTTTCGGCTTTTGAGCAGCAGTTCAGCTGAGATTCATTTTGGATGAAGACTCAGAGGCTTCCAGTCTGAGGAAACAAGATCAGCTGAGGAATTGGCAAGGTGAGGTGGCTGTGGCTTGTTCTGTTTCTCTGATCATTCAGTGTTCACCCCAATAACTGGCTCTGGGTTTGTTTTTATTAATGAGAACTTCTAAGATTTGTGCTACACTCCACATGATGGACAAGTACAGATGTGTCTCTAAGGTAATTCCATTGGTCTCACTCTCATCTCTGTCCTGGAAAATTCTACTTGACAGTTAAGGTTATGCTCACAGCACCAAGTTTTTTTTTTTGGGAAAGATTTCTCACTCATAGAAGCTTAAAGACCACATATCTCTTGTCATATATTTGATAGAAAAGGTCAAATTGCACTCTAGTCAAATGTAGTTATTATGTATACACATTTTTTTACATATGTATTATGTCTTCTTTCTAAGCTTGAACTCTTGAGGTGTGATTCAAATTACAGATAAAAAACAATCAAGTTGATGAGAATAGGAACTTCTTGAGAATTTTTATAATTGATGTACATTAAAGGGATTACATTCTACTGGATTTATTTAGAATTATTATATAAAATATTTTAGAAATGGAAATTAGATGACAGATTTAGATAATTATGCCATGTATTCATCCTCATTCCATTATTTTAATGTAACAACTGAATTTGGGTGAGTTTATAATGAGAAGAATCTTATCAGTTCATAGTTATGGAAGTTCCAGCTCATGGCAAAAACATCAGTCAGGTTGATTGAAAGCATCATGATAAATGTCATCATAATGGCTAAAGAATGATTCAAGGGAAGAGAAAGAACAGGTTTAGATCTATCACAGGGTTAACTCAGAATCTAACAAGGGCTATGTTAGAAACCTATAGGGTAAGGCCTTCTAATGGTCTTCTACTAAGGTGTCCACTCAGAGGACCCACTACCTCCACACGTCCCTATTGAGCATCAACATTCTGACATACAAATGCTTGAAGATAAACCACAGCTGTTGTGACTTGAAGTGGAGTCAAAAAGTGAGTGAAGATAAGCATGCCTCTGGGCTCTCATCTTGTGGATCTTTTGATGTAGGATGACATGGTGCACTTGTGCATCTTACCAGGTTGCTTATCTGCTAAGCATTGATGTGGAAGAGTCCCTGGAAAAGTGCTGTGGGGAAGAGTCATCAGGACAATGACTAAAGTTGAGGACAGTCTTCAGTGTCAGTTTGAGCAGTAGGAGTTGTAAATTCTAACAATAAGCTTCCAGTCACACTTCTTCCCATTAGAAAGTTAAGTTAGTATATAAAGTAATACGTTTTGCTATGTAATTTTTAGAAAACATAAATGTCAGTCAGTATCTTTTGTTCTAGGTTGCCTCCTTCCTCCACAGCACTATTCCACAACACATTCATCTCTTTGGATAGCTTTTTATTTTAATGTGTTCTCATGGCCTCTTTTCTAATTTCATCATCTAACAAAGAAAACACACAGACACACACACACACAGACACACACACACTTAAGTTTAGATTTCACATATAAGAGAAAAATCAGTAATATATATTTGGTTTGTTTGTTTTTTTTAATTATTTATTTATTTATTTATTTATTTTTGGTTTTTTGAGACAGGGATTCTCTGTAGCTTTGGAGCCTGTCCTGGAATTCACCCTGTAGACCTGGCTGGCCTCAAACTCACAGAAATCTGCCTGCCTCTGCCTCCGAGTTCCAGGCTTAAAGACGTGAGCCACCACCGCATAGCAGTTTATTTTGTTTGTCACATTGCTTAGTTTCCAGGCAGAAAGTTGAAACATGTTCAGCTTTGTTCTAATATTATCATTGGAAAGTTCCTTTTATGGGTTAAAACATTCAAGCCAACATACACATGATTAAAAGAAATGACTTTATCATTGATGATTATAGAAGGTGTAATCATGCCACTTACACAGATTGGCAAAGGAGCAATACTACTACTCAAAAACTCATTATATAATGTGAAATTAACAGCATTATACACCTGATAATTCAGATGGATGCTCTGAGATCTACTGTAATCAGCAATGGCTTCCAAGACAGAAGAAATCTAACTAACTTAATATACTTTACATATTAATTAACATTATAATATAATAATTTGTATAGCTTTAAACAAAAGGTAAGAAAAAAATTCAGGCTACAAAGCCTCTTCCCATAAAATATATTAAAAATCATTTTTTTCTAAGTGAGTAAGTGTTTTATTTAGTCCCGCCTTCTGGCCACAAAATCATAAACCTTAGACTAGCCTTGAACTCTTGATCCACCTGTCTCCATTGCCAGAGTGTTGAGTTATAGGCTTCTGTTCATCTAGTTGTGCAATACTTTCACTGAGTATAACATTATTCCAAGTATGTCTGAAAATGTGTCCAAGTATGAAAAAGCTCCTCAAAATATTTGTTATTTTTTTACAGGTTCAACTATTATACCCGTGTAAAGATCTATGGACACTTAGGGAATTTATGCAGTCACTTACTAAGCAGAAAGGACATCCTGGATTCCTTAAAGAATAAGAATTTTGACCTACTTTTTTTTGATGTAACAGATCCTTGTGTTTTCTTGATTGCTGAGAAACTTGAGAAACAATTTGTGGCCTTTCTTCCCATGATATTTGGCATTATAGACTATGGGCTACTAAGGCCCTTGTCTTATGTTCAAGGATTTGGTTCCAGTTTAACTGATCAAATGGACTTCTGGGCCAGAGTGAAGAACGTCCTGATGTTTCTTGATTCATCCATGAAGCAAAGAGAAATATTTTCTCATTATGACAGCACTATCCAGGAGCATTTTGCAGAAGGCTCTCGGCCAGTTTTGTCTGACCTTCCACGGAAAGCAGAGTTGTGGTTTGTCAATTCTGACTTTGCCTTTCATTTTGCTCATCCCGTGCTTCCCAATATGGTCTATGTGGGAGGCTTAACAGACAAACCTGTTAGACCAATACCTCCAGTGAGTGATAACTTATCCCTCAGTTTATCTTTTATTTGGAGGCCTGCAGTGCTTAGATGGTGTCTTAGTTAGGGTGTCTATTGCTGTGAAGAGACATCAGAACCACAGAAACTTTAATAAAGGAAAACATTTAATTTTGGTTGGCTTCCAGTTTCAGAAGCTTAGTCCATTATTATCATGGTGGGAAACATGGTGCCATATAGAAAGACATGATGCTGGAGAAGGAGCTCAGAGTTGTACATCTAGATCCACAGGCAACAGGAAGTGAACTGTGACACCAGCCATGGCTGAGCATAGCAGACCTCAAAGTCTACTTCACAATGACACATTTCTTCCAACAAGGCTGCACCTACGCCAAACAGGCCATACCTCCTAATGGTGCCATTCCCCTTGGGAGCAGTTTTATTTCAAACCACCACAGGAGGAAATTGTCACTTGCCCGAGATGTACTGAAAGGAAGTACTCAAAGACAACAGAATTACCCAGAGCCTATATTTTTAGGGTTAGTGAAAGTACAGTGTTAGAATACCCCATGCTAAGTTTGAAGACCTGGTTAGATAGTACAAAATGTAAGTTTCTTTTGTCTCTCTCTATTCCTGGCTGTGGTGGAATAACTCCTTTAGTTTAGTATTTCCTTAATAACTTAATAACTCCTTAAGTATTAATATTTCCAATTGAATTTTGAGCTATCTGTATAATAAATACAGTGAATGTCAACATACTTAGTATGTGTTAAGGAGGCAGGTTCCTTATAATGAAACAGATTAATACTTTCAGAAGGCATGTACCTAGACAAAACTTAGTATGAGTAACAAGAAGAACTGCTTCTGTTATTCTGTGTCCCCAGCCTGTTGAGCACTTGGTACTCCATCCAGCTACTGTAAACCATCAAAGCTGTCATGTAGTTTGCATGTTCAGTGCAGGGTCTGAATTACTATCACTGACAATTATAAAGTGCAGAGATAAGGATGTTAGATTTCTGGTTCCCTGTCACTGTGGGGTTCCCTCACCCATGAAGGGAATATAAACCATGGTGGCCAAGATGCTGAAATGATGAAGATGATATTTGTCCTGTGTTCAGATCAAAGCAGAGAGGGTATGGATTTGCTCTGGCTCTGTTGGGTATTACAGCGCCTACCCTTCCTTGCAGTTGGTGCAAATTAGTTTTTGGGGGAGTGATTAGTGAGTGAGAAATATTATCTATCTATCTATCTATCTATCTATCTATCTATCTATCTATCTATCTATCTATCTATCTATCTCTATATATTTATATCTATATATATCTATATCACATCACTTACATCAGTAGAGTAGGGATACAGTATACAGATTTGCAGTTCCCTGACTGAATCTTTAAGTAGTAAAAGATATTTTACATTTATAAATCTAGATGTGAATGACAGAGCCCTCACCTTCTAGACAGAATGGTCAGATATTGGCACACAGAGAGATGAAGGGATTGTTAGAAAGTGGGAGGAAATGTTTGAAAATAATACATGACACAAGAGTCTGGAATCTACTTTATGGGTTATTCCAATACATGTTTTGTAAGAATTAAGTGAGAAGCAAATAGACTGTGGTGGTTGCCTACATAAGGAAAATCAGACTTTCTATCAAAACTCTCAAAGAAGTTTAAAGACTACATATATTTGAAACATAGTGTTTATCAAATATTGCAACTATAAAATATTACTTAAAATATGTGAAATAGTTAACTTACAGAGAGATATGTTATCTATGCACAAAATATGAAATAAAAAATAAGAAGAAAAATGTAAGAAATTTAACGAAGAAATAAATAACTTAAGACTTCAATTCTACAGTTTTAGAATTAGAAAACTATCCATACAAATTATCACCTTGAATAATACCATAGGCTAAATAGAATTATTAGAAATTATAGAGCATGCTTAAAATGTATTTGCAAGTGATTTTATATGCCTGACTGCTTGCCCTGCATGTATGTGTGTGCATCATGTTCCTGCAAGTGCCCAGATGAGGCCAGAAGAGGGCACTGGATCACCTAGAGCTAGAATTACAGAGAGTTGTGATTGCTCTGTGGGAACTGAACTGTGGTCCTCTGGAAGGAAATCTGCTGAACCTTCTCTCCAGTTCTGACTGTTCATTCCAACAACAGCAGAGCACATATTCTTCTCTAATGCACAAAACAAATTCCTTGGTTCATGTGTTAGCCCATGCCACCCTCCAACCCAAGCCTGAGATTTGCAAATTCTCAGATTAATGTAGATATTTCTTACCACAGTGGGGTGAATATAAAACAACATAATGTAAATTCCAAGGGAAAAATCAAGAGGAACATTTGAAAATATTATATACCAAGGAAAAGGAGACAAAAAAATGGAATGATGGAGTGAATTAAAAGCAAAACATAGGATATAATTCATAGCTATTATTATATCTATTAGTACAGCCAAGGTACTTGCAATTGATAATCTAATCCTTCAATATAAGGCAGAGATAATGAAGAGATGACTGAATAAGATGCTAGCAGAAAGAAGGGACATAAAAGAATCAGAGTGTAGATGATTGAAATAATGAATAGACAAATTTAGAATCAATAAAATCAAAAGAGTAGCATGCTGAAAAAGTGATAGAATCATTAAGAATATAAATAAGAAAGAACAACAAAATATTAAAGTCCTAAAGTAAAAAATTATCCACTCTTACTTAAAACAATAAAGATTATAAGGGAATTATAAAAACATGATATATCATCAAATTAGGTGATCTACATGAGTGGACATATTCCTTTGCAAGACTGTTACCATAACTGACTCAAGAAAAAATAGAAATTCTTAAAGTTATGGGATTAAATTAGACTGATCAATAACAAAGTCTTTCATTAAGAAAGTCTGATATAACATGGATTAACAGGTGAATTGAGTGAAACACTTAAGAATGAATGCCAGTTCCTGTATGATTATTTGTGGCACTTCCACAGGAAAGAATACTTCTCAAACCATTCTTTGAATCTATCATTATTCTGTAACCAAAGCTAGAAAACAACACCAGAGGTGGAGGCATTATACCACACAGCAAGTGAAGAAATTTTGTATACTGAATTTCTATCATGAGTATAAAATAATACAAATGATGTTCAAAAATAGGAAGGGCCGAAAGTTATTAAACCAAAAGAATGCCCTTAGCAATTAGATTACTCTGGAGCTTACTTTTTTTTTTTTTTTTTTTTACGAGACAGAGTTCTCTGTGTAGTTTTGCACCTTTCCTGGAACTTACTTTGTAGACCAGGCTAGCCTCGAACTCACAGAGATCTGACTGCCTCTGCCTCCTGAGTGCTGGGATTAAAGATGTGCCAGTAGAAAAATCTGGTGCTTGTATTTTCTTGGAAGAGCAATCCATAAGAGCCCAAAGGTGTAGTACAAATCTTTAAAAGGTATTATTAATAAAGACAAACCTGGAGCCAGGTATTGTGGTGAATGCTGAATGATCAGAGAAAAAGAACAATTCATCCAACCTCACCTTGCCAGTTTCCCAGCTCATCTTATTTCCTCAGACTGAAAACCTCTGAGTCCTCATCTGAATGGATCTCAGCTGAACTGCTGCTAAAAGCTAAATGCTTAAAAAGGCTCTAGTTCCTGGTCCTCACACCTTATATGCCTTTCTGATTCCTGGGATTAAATGCATGTGTCACTATGCCTGGCTGTTTCCAGTGAGGCTTTGAACTCACAGAGATTCAGGTGGATCTCTGCCTCTGGAATGCTAGGATTAAAGGCATGTGCTACCACTGCCTAAACCTATAATTAATATAGTGGTTGTTCTGTTCTCTGACCCCCAGATAAGTTTATTGGGGTGCACAATATATCAACCCCACACAGGTGAAGAGATGGCTGCTATTCAATGCAGTAACTACCCCCAGACACAGCTGTATAGGAATTATAAAAGGAGTTCTATCATATAGAACACAAGCAACCAAAGCATGGGTTTATTTAACAACTGGTCTTGTTTCATGTCATAGCTGCCTTGGGTTTAACAAACCACTTTTTGCACATTTCTTTATGTTTCTTCTAGGATTTAGAAGACTTTATCATTAAGTTCCGAGACTCAGGTTTTGTCCTTGTGGCACTGGGCTCCATAGCAACCCTGCATCAGACCAAACAACTTATTAAGGAGATGAACAGTGCCTTTGCTCACCTCCCTCAAGGAGTGCTGTGGACATGTAAGGATGCTCATTGGCCTAAAGATGTCAGTATGGCTCCTAATGTCAAAATCATGAATTGGCTTCCCCAGACTGACCTTTTGGGTAAGCACCTCCTAGACCTGTTACTTTATTTCCATTAATGTGCTTTTGGACTTAATAGATAACTGATGTCTGAGTGCTTGCAGTTGCAGAAAAAAGGCTGCTGATAGGTGAAGATATATGTCTAGCAGGCAGGTAGAAGCAGCTAAGGTTCTTGGGAGAATCAGTCTGTGCTCTAGACTGGCCATAGCAACAACTTCCTCATCCTTTTCAACATAGACAGATCACAATTCCCTAAATAGATATGTAGCCTTGACTTAAGAGTATTTACCGTTGATCACAACAACACAATCTTGACCAATATGTGGTCTACAACTATTCCTTGGGCAGTTGCCACCATTTGTTGCTGCTATTCTCACAGTGATGTGAGAAATCCTTGGTATTTTTAAACACACACACACACACACACATGAATGTAAGCATGCAGACACATCTTGGTTGTGAGAAAAGGGATAAAAACTCAGACACTTACAACATGGATGTTGTGTGGTTTAGGACATAGAGAGATATTTGTGTACCAACCCACATAAGATGACAGTATGATATGGAGACACTGATTTCTTGAGCAACAGAGAATTCCCTAAAGCTACCTCCCCTCAAAATTTTCATTTCTATGTGACTTTATGGATACCCAACTTTTCTACATTCAGTGGCAGAATCAGAGATTTGTACCTAAGACCGTGTCTCAAAAGAAGCTGGGAAATTTTTCACATAGATCTCTGTTCAGTAAAATCACAGGCTACACAACAGGAAAAAGACTTGCTTTCCAGGGAAAATGGGTAGATTTTGTGTGAGTTATAGTTTGGGATGATTTCTGTAGGATCATAAGAAATGTTTGGTTGCTTTCAATATGGAGCAACAGTCAAGACCTGTAAATGCAGAAGTTTCTGGTCTACCACCCCCTTCTGTAAGCTTCTCAAAACAGAGCAGATAACACCCATAATATAGACTTCATGTGAGATCAGACGTGAAAAGCAAGAGAAGGCCAAGGTTAGACAAGTGAAGAAGAAAGCATCAGTGGAGAAGATGAGGATGAGTAGAAGGACAAGGAAACTTCCCTCTCTTGTCACTGTCCTTGTAGCTGTGCCTGGGTTCTAGGTCTTAGATAGATTTTGACTGAAGTAAGGCATCTCTCTGCAGAGAGAAGGCTGGGTATCACATCCTGAAACATTGCAAATCTCTAAAGCACCATCAGTAAATTCATTCTCCCCAGCATATTGGCATTTCCTGGATCTGCTGCTTCACCTGGAATCTGAAACTTTGATAGTGACGTATTGGATGATCTTTCTCTTTTGCAACAGCTCATCCTAGAATTCATCTTTTTGTCACCCATGGGGGAATGAATAGCATAATGGAGGCCATCCAGCATGGAGTACCCATGGTGGGGATTCCCTTTTTAGCAGACCAGGGTGAAAACATGGTCCTAGTAGAAGCAAAGAAAATTGGTGTTTCTGTTCATCTAGAGACACTCAAGGCAGAGACATTTGCACGTACACTAAAAGAAGTCATAGAAGACAAGAGGTATGCAGCTCTATGGGGTTGGGGTCTCTTAGGCTGAATATAGGCTTAGTATTAATTGGACTGTGTAGTATGTTTATCAATGAAACAGAATTTTATGGGATGTGTTATAATACATGTGTGATACATGAAAGTCCTGCTTTTCCTTTGCTAATAATCCTAATTTTGGGTGAGGAGCTGAGAATATGCTTCTACCTGATGTGGTGCGATGACTTCTTATGGTCACATTATCTTTATGATCTTTCATATTTTGGGTACCTATAATAGAATTTCAGTTGAAGCAGGAGAGATCATTGGCATGTTCTTTACATGGCCAATCTCCCTGAATCATCAAATACCTAAAGAATTTCTATTGACTCAGAAGTTAATGATCTTAGTTACTATTGTATTACTGTGAAAAGGTACTATGACCAAGGCTACATGTAAGATAAAGCATTTATTTGGTTCTTGCTTACAGTTTCAGAGGGTTAGTCCATGATCATCATGGTGGTGACTGTGTGTGCAGGATGGTACTGGAGCAATAGAAGAGAGCTCACATCTTGATCTGCAGGCAGGAGGCAGAAAGAGCAAGAATGGGCCTGGCGAGGGCTTTTTTGATCCCCGCCAGTGAGACACCTCCTCCAATAAAGTCATAGTTCTTAATTCTTCCTTAACAGTCCACCAACTGATAAGTAAACATTCAAATATATATGACTATGGGAGCCATTCTCATTCAAACTACGACAAGGACAATTGCATGGCCTTAATGGGCTGACCTTCCCTCTTCAGGGTCTTTGTTGAACTCACAGAACCATCTCTCCACCGTTGTCCTTAGGAGAACATGTTTTTGGCTATTACTTTTTCTGTCCTTGAGGTCACTCATCATACACTACTTTCTTTTTAACACTTTGAAAGATTTGCAATATCTCCACCATGTGTGTCATTATTGTCTGTTCCACACTAGCACATATGAAGCACGTACCATGAGGAAGCAGTAGTATCAGTTTCTACTCTGTTCCTGGGGCTCAGGACAGGTCTGTTATAATGGAACTTTTTACAAATCTAGCACAAATGCAATAGTAACAGAGACAAAAAGAGGTGACCCACATATTCCTTGCCCAACCAGCACAATGATTTCATAATCAAACACGACTAAATACTCAGGTTTCAATGTCCCAATCACTTAATCAGACAGACATCATGTCACACAGGTTCACATATATTTAATGTGAGCATACCTTCAGCACAATAGGTGAAATCCTTACAGACATTAAAAATGTTTCTCTTCAAGGGTTAATTTTGATCCTTCTTGTATTAGGTTTTTCTGTTTATCTTTTCATTGAACGTTTTTTAAATTGAACTTTTAGTTGGGACTCAGGTAGACAGTGTCAACAAAAATGTATGCTAACAATTTTGTTAAAGCTGACCTATGGAATTGTACTAGAAACAAAATGTGTGTGTGTGTGTGGGGGGCGTGTGTATACGTTTTAAAGTCCCAACTACTGGCACAGCACATTGGTAACACATTCTCTCTGTGTCTGCCCATAGGTTCAAGTCTGCAGCCATGGCTGCCAGGGCCATCAGGCGCTCTCACCCCATGACACCTTCCCAGCGTCTGGTGGGCTGGATTGACCACATCCTACAAACAGGGGGAGGAGCACATCTCAAGCCCCAAGGCTTTCAACAGCCATGGCATGTGCAGAACCTGCTGGATGTCCTATTGTTCCTGTTGGGGCTCACTCTGGGCACCTTGTGGCTGTTGAAGAAAATGCTGGGCTTGTTGCTCAGGTCCCAGGGTGTGGTCAGGAAGGAAAAGAAGTCCTAATGTTAGGGTTGACCTGGGGGAGGATGTTCGGAACTCTGGCACTTTACATGCATCCCCCTTCCCTAGCACAAGGAACTCCCAGGGTTCTCGTCTTTCCCTCTTCCTGCTGAGGGACCTCCAGTTGTCCTCACTGTTTTCTGCCTCTTTCCTAACACTCATACAGTACATTGACTGGTGACTCCACTATCTGGATCGCCTGGCTCTAGTACAATCCTTCCTTTCCCAGCTGTTTCTTCTCTTCACACCTTTCTGCCATTGACAGTGTTATGACAGTTTCATCCTCTCTGTGACTTCTATTCTCTGACTCTAATTTCTCATATTATTTGAGATAAAACCCCAAATATTGGACAAATTCTAATTACTCCTTTATTTTTCTTATCTTATAATCTCTTTTAGAGTTCAGAATGCCTGGACTACTCCATTCTACTCTTCCTGTTAGGAAGGAACAGCCTCTGCTAGCATGTAATATCTACCAATTTATCTGATAATTACAACATATGAATGCCATCAATTCATTTTTCTTGGTAGAATACAAAATAAAGTTCACAGAAAATTGAAGAGTTTGGAGAAATCATTTTTGATATGACTTATATGATAGGTTTATTTCCTTATGTGTAAAAAAATTAAATAAGTAAAGAAAAGAAAACACAGTCTATCCACTTATTGAAGTAACAGCTATGTGTCAAATCGGATAAGCCAGAGAGAATGAATTTCAATGCCATTAAGTAAGAAGATACAAAGAGAAGCAATATACATAGCATTCCTGTTGAGATGAACTGTAGCTCAGTAGCAGGTCTAGAGGGAGATTCCGGGCTTTGAAGACTGTCTTTGGCCCTGTTCCCTGAAACTAGCAAACTGGGCAGAGGTTTGTTGAAGGAATGGACTGAACTGTGCCTCTGACAAGGGAACTGTACATATGGTGAGCCAACACCTGGTGACGCTGTGGTCACAGCGTTGGGAAGGAGTGCCTTCTTCTAAACAGAGTTAAACCTGACAGTTTATACTGTTGTGACCAAATGTCAGACACACTTTAACAGGGGTTGTGATGTCAGTGAAATCATGACATCATATTTGGAATCTGTGGCTGGATGTGTTTTTAAACCTCAGAGCTCTGAGTATGTCTCGCCCTTCTTTATTAGAAATACGACTCTCTCCTACCTTCCTCTCAAACCTCAAGGTCTTGCAAAATTTATTTCTTCTCTTATGATTTAATATGAGTCTTCAGAGTTCAAATTAGTTTGAATGCCATCCTAGAGCTTGATTCTCTGAGTTACCCCTCACACTCCTAGCTTCTGTCCTAACATGGTACATTGAAAAGAGGACATAGTTAATATTGGCTTTGTGTTGTCAAATTGACTAAATGATGGTTAATGTGAGCATTCGAGTATCGTGCTTGACTGTAATTTTCCCTCTGACTTTATCAAGTCATATCCAGAAGTATCTTCCTACAACAGCTCTGGTAGAATTGTTGTCAGGGGGAAAAGTGACTGAAGTCTGCATTCCCGTATCTGGTCTTCCCTAAGTCAAGTATTATTTTGCATGAGGAAGTGGCAAAAAAATACACTTTGAATTTCTTACCTATTGTTACCTACGGTAGAGGAGAAAGAATCCTGCTGGGACTCAAATGTCCAATGTCTGTTGTTTGTCAAGACTTATAGGAAAGCCATTGTACCAGTCCATACTTACTTTCCTGCTGTGGTTTTAACGTGTCCTCCCAAATTCATATGTTAGAAACTCAGTTCCAAAATTTATATGTCAACAACACTTTCCAGTGGAAGGTTTTTGATATAATTAAAGTTAAAAGAAGTCCACAGGGTGGGCCCTCCAGGATGGCTACAGTGTGGCTTTACCAAAAGAGAAGAGGGCCTGGGGTTGACATGCTTGTTCTGGTTGGCATATGATGCCCTTTCTGACGGTTACAGTACAGTTTTACCAAAAGGGGACGGGGCTTGGGGATGATGCGCTTGTTCTGCTATGGCATGGGATGCTCTCATGACGCAGTATGAAGCCCCACACCAGGTGATGAGCAGATCCTCGTACCATGTGTTCTCATCTCTCCCGTCTACTGTCTTGTCTACATCTCTTTATCATAGGTAGTAGATAATGGAGCCTTTGAGCTCAAACTCATAATCACCAGGGATGGGTTTGGAGAGGTAAGACCAAGGCCCAGGTTTGTAGGCTTTTTTTGTCTTATGATCTTCCCACTGAAATAAGAGATCTGAGAACCCAAGTCTGGACTGCCCAGATCACCTTCTCCCATTTCTGAATATTCTTACAGAAA